GGGAAGCCGTGGATGGGTTGCAACAAGGCTTCCACAAGTCGCTCCGTCAACATCAATCATCCGTGCTACAAGAGCAGTTGCAACGGGAAGACCAGGGCAAAAAGACAGAAATTTTGGCCAATCTAGCAGGTTCAAAGTTACAAGATATGAGCCATATAGACAGGAACAACCTCACAATGAATCTGAGGGGAGACAAGCGTACAACAAAAGACGGAGATCTTCGTCAACGTTGCTCCCTCCAAGAGATGCATTGCTGCATGTGCCAAGGGTGACACCACCGGCGCCCATAAACCAGAGAGAACAACAAACACCAGATGCAGCGCAGAGCTATACACATGTAAGTATCCATATGGAAAAGAAAAAAAACATAAGCACAGTCCGTACCATGGTGCTGTGACCACCCCATGTAACATTTTTGTTTTGTCACTGTTGTGTGCAGCCACCTGATATTGAAGCTTATGTTCTGCCAAGGCTAGAGATGAGGTTTGAAACTTCCGAAGAAACTAAGAACTTCTACAACGTATATGCAAAGCACACTGGTTTTGCTGTCAGGGAAGGCCCCAAGTTTAAGACCAGAGCCTACCTTTATTGCACGTGCCATGGAGTTTATGAATCAAAGGTGTCTGAAGCAAATAGACAGCGTAATAAGACGACAGCCAGAACTAACTGTGGGGCTAAAATGAGGCTGAAGAAGGAAAAAGATGGAACATTTGTCGTAAAAGAGATAGTCTGGGAACACAATCACAGGCTACAGCTCACCGCAGAAATGCTTGTCTTCTTGCACTCCCACAAAAACTTTGACAAAACAATCTTGGAGTATGTCAAGTACCTGCAGTTCAAAGGCATTGAACACGCGCAAATCATGAGCATACTGGGCGGTGATGACCCTAGTAGCTACTTCCTTGAAATGAATGCCAAAGACCTGATTAACCTGTAAGTACAAACTTGTTCTCCTCCCATAAACCATCTCCGTATTTTTTCTTCTGTCAGTACAAACATATCACGCAACGCATGAGCTGACGCCAGTTCAACATGCATTATTCAATGATCTTTTGATATAAAGGAAAGCAAAGAATTCAAGGATTGATGATGTGGACGATGTCCTAAAGACTGTCAACTTCTTTAGGGAGATGAAAGCTATAAACAGGGAATTTTTCTATGACATGCAACTCGATGAGTCCGACAGAGTTAAGAACATATTTTGGGTGAACACAAGCTGCCGAGGGGCGTATCAGGACTTCGGAGACTGCGTAACGTTTGACTCAACATATAAGACCAATAAGTACGATATGCCACTTGGGGTGTTTGTCGGAACTAACAACCACTTATAGACTACATTCTTTGCTTTTGCCCTGATAAGAGATGAGGATGCAGATTCATTCAAGTGGCTGTTCAAGAAATTTTTAAGGTGCATGATAAGGAAGGCTCCTACATGCATCCTCACAGGTACAACCCCTAAAACCACCCCAACCACCACCCCCTTCCAAAAACGAAAAGTAAAGTAACACAAAAAAATGTTGTGTTAGTTCTATTAGTATATATGCACAACCATCTCTGCTGACCACTCAGAGTCTATTTTCTCATTACCAGACCAGTGCCCGGCAATGGCTTTCGCGATCGCAGATGTTTTCAAGAACAAATTACATAAGCTATGCCGCTTGCACATTATGAAGAAGTACAGGGAACACCTTGCGTACCTGTATTTCCTGCACGAGGACCTTAAAGATGAATTCACATCAATTCTCAACTGGCCCCTCGTGCCAACTGAGTTTGAGGATGCCTGGAAAAGACTCATGGATAAGTACAACCTCCACGATGATGCCACAATGGTGGGCATGTGGAACGAGCGTGAGAAGTGGATATCAGCCTACTTCAAGGAAATTTTGTGCGCCAAGATGACATCCACACAGCAAAGTGAGAGCATGTACTATGTGGTCAAGAAGAACTACGTAAATGAGAGACATAACCTACATAGGTTTGTCAGTCAGGTAAACTCATGCGTCAAAACCAGGAGGCAGACAGAGAACCAGGAGACAATGGGTAACCGGGTATATCTCTATCACTTGTCGTAAGACATAAAAATAACATGCTTACTAAAGTAAGAACTTTATTAGAAGGTTTTCCTGTGAGAAAACTAACAATATGATCATCATTCTTGCATCTGCAAAAGGAACAAAACACGCTGACCTACTATGGGTTTGACACCCAGATGGCAAAGCTGTACACACGAGCTGTGTACAGCGAGATCAGAGATTGGCTGAAACTGAGCACGCTCTTCACGGCGACAGAGACGGAAGAGCCCACAAAGTACCTAGTGCGCTACAACCACCCGCAAAAACTGTATGTGTGGGCTCAGCACGCATTCCAGGTGGTGGTAGACCCCGTGGGAGAAACATATGAGTGCGAGTGCAGGCTATGGGACCACACAGGTGAGCAGTGCAAAAAAGATGTTACATACTGTACTACTTTTTTTGCAAAAGTTTTTGTTCGAATGAAATGAAAAAAAACATGCACCTCTTCCAAAAACAAATACAGGTCTTTTCTGCATGCATGTCCTGTGCATAATGCAGACAATTAAGGCTGCCAGCATTCCAGAGAAATACATACTCAGGAGATACACCAAACACCCGAACATCCAGCCAACATTTGACAGAAATGACTTGAGGACAGTAGCGTCAAACAAGGCATCCCAATACTGCATTGAAAGCACACTGCTGACGCTGAACATGAGGGTGCACAGAAAAAGCTTGAGAAGCCAAGAGCAAATGGCAAGGTCGCGGGTCATCATGGACAAACTTGAACAAGAACTCGACGCCATGCATTCTGCTGAAAATGGAGGTGTCGCGGACAATGAAGCCATTGACCAGGATATTGCTACAATGTTATCCGAGATGAACTATCTAGGATCTATTGACCCATTTGAGAACGAGGAAGAAGAGCAGCAGCAACCGGAGCTTGCCCATGTGCACACTCAAGAGCGCCGACAAACTCACATGCGAGATCATGAGCTTGATAGTGTTGTAGGCGAACAACATGACAATAGCACATCCTACCAGCAGCAGCAGGAAAGGGTGATTAAACCCCCAATATTCTCAAACACAAAGGGGAGGAAGAGCAAGACGCAAGCAGCAGCAAAAAAGCCACCACGCCCCATGAAGCGCGTGGAATTTGGCCCGGACGGCAAACCCCTCGGGATACGGGCATGCGGTTTCTGCAACGTCATGAGCAACCATAACTACCGCACATGCCCACTCCACACAGATGCCACTGTCAACAAGAACAACCAGATTGTAGCCACCCAGCTTTCTAAAAATAGAGACAGCACACGTAACAGCTACACTTGCCGCAAGTGTGGGGGAACTGACGGACATAATGCCCGCACGTGCAAAGTGGGCAAGGAGGTCGGTGGAGCTGAACATAAACAGGGCAAGGTACAGAGTTCCAAGCAATCAAATGAAGATGATGAAGAGGAAGAGTTTGATGAGAATGATGGACAATCAGACGAAGACAATGAAGATGACAATGTCAGAGGCGAGGAAACTGAAACTGACGGTGAAGCTGCCAAGGCTCAACCTGGAAAGAGCGCCGGCAAGGCACAACATTCAGGGACAGTTAGGAGAAGCTCAAGACTGAACAATACATAGTGGTTATCCTGCTGCGTCAACTAAAAAATAACCTTGTAGTCTCAGTCGCATCAGCACACAAATGATGAAGCATTTCACAAACACTGTTGTTACCAAGACATATTTAGCTTTAACGTCGATTACTCTCGATCAAAACTAAAGTTATTTTTTAGTTTCTGATTTGTGCCCGCTGGAGCAGTCACAAAAATACGTTTGAAAAAACTTATCTGTATATATCCGACACAAAACGATACTGTGACCCAGTAACTCAGGAAAAATAGTATGTCAATGAAAAATTTAAAATCTTGTAGTACATCAGTACTAATAACTCTCAGACGTCAGTACAAGGCTAAGTACACATCAGTACTGATATAATTTCCGATTTGTGCCCGCTGAAGCAGTGACATTATTATTTAAACCATTTCATAATCCTTTTGAATGCAGTCACAAATAAATTTGAAAAAATTTATCTGGATATATCTGACGCAAAACGCTACTGTCAACCAGTAACTCAGCAACAAAAAAAATGCCAAGGAAAAATATAAACTCTTGTAGTACATCAGTACTGATAAATCTCAGTCGGTAGTACAAAAGGCATAGTAAAACAAACACACCAGTTAACGACTCAAAAAAAATCGTTTTGAAAAAACAAAGCTACCTGCCAGTCCCAATTCAGAAACACCATAAGTACATGAAAATAATTACCTCAAGCAAAATGTGAATATAATACATCCTGTACTGGTGAAAATCTAATTTATCTGTAAAAACTACTCACAAATTATGTTGATATAAACAATCCTTTAAAAAAATACGAAAATTGTTTTTAAAAAACATAGCACCACACATAGTCTCACTGGTATTTGGTACGTTCAATTGCACTTCAAGCACCAGTCCGAGTACGACAGTAGAGGAGTTCAGACCTCCATCAACACCGACGCTGACACGTGCAAGTGGGATAAGCAGCTGATAAGTACAGCTTGACTATACGAATCGGTGCCACAGTAAAATGCCATCATCACCACCGGAGAGACGTGCAAGTGGGATTTGGCAGGTCATAAGTACAGCTTGACAAGACTAGTCAGTTCAACAGTAAAAACCATTTCACTTGGACGGTCAGTTCTTCCACGCCACCATCCGCGCCACCCACTGAGCGGTTGGCACAAGGGACTGCGAACGGTGACCCCACGCCACAACACCCACTACACACACGACCCCGAACGAACCGCCTACTGCAAAATCCTCGTCCACGCACTGCACAAAATCCCATTCTCTTCCACCTCTCCCTCATTCCCACAAACCACCATTGTCGCTTCCATTTCCACTGAACACAAACCAAAAACTTCTCTCTCCAAAGCCCACAGTCGCCGCAGGAAGGCCATGGCGGAGGAACCGTCCGCCAAGTGTCATCATGCCGAGACGTCGGACAAGAGGAGCAACCTCGTGGACATTAACGTCCCTGGCGAGAAGCGCGAGTACACAACAACCCTCAAAGGGGTTGAGCTCCACGGCAACGAGACGCTGGAGATCGTCTGCACCAGCGTACCAGAAAAGGCCGACGAGGCGATCTCCAGGCTCTGGATGAAGCTTGGGGGCAGGGTTCGTAGGATCGTCGGCATTGGTGTGCACTACACCAACGAAGATGAACCTCCCCATAAGGCAGCAGCCCTGCAGTTGTGCGTCGATGAACTCTGCTTGGTGTACCACATCGCAACGGCCACAAAATGGTGAGCAATCCTACTCATTTGCCCTGCATATGGTTTATCTGTTTTATTACTACTGTATCCTGAAAAATTAATCACACTTGCTTTCCCAACTAGATGTACTAGTGTGGTTTGTGAAAAGTGGATGCACTACTGCATTTTCTTAAGTAGATCTACTATAGAATGTATTTATGAACCTGATGCAATGGATTAATATTTGGAAAATATTGCGGAAGATTAAATTCTGAAGTTGATCGACTAGTGAAGTTTCTGAAGTTGATACAATAGAGTAGTCTATGTACTCGATGTATTAAAAAAGATGTTTCTGAACTTGATGTAGTGAAGTATTTTCTGAATTTGATCTAATGTTATTTTCGTAAGAAAATAAACTAAGGACTTGGTGAAGCACTGGTTTCTCTGTTATCCCATTTCAACCAAAAAAGACTAAACTAGTGCCAATGCAGAACATACAACATTGACTGAAACTTTGTATAATCAAAGAAGAAGAATAACATGATGTACTTAATTTAATTTCAGAACTTTCTTTACTAGTTTTTGAAGTACATTCATCCATTGTTTATCCTACATAAAAAACTAGTTCATGGATTCATCTCTTGTAAAACAAAAACAAAAATGAATAATTCAAAACATCAAAGTAATGCTAATATTCAAAATGTCTCTGCCCTTGCAGGCCCAAGCGCCTGACCGAGATGCTGCAGCATGAGAAGTCGGTCACATTTGCCGGTTTCAGCATTGAAAGCGACTAAGAGAAGCTGAAGTTGTCCGGTATGGAGATCAACCCCAACAAGTTCATCGACATTCGGCGCAAGTGGAGAGTTCCATACACCGGAAAAGAGTACGACTCCTTGACTGATGTTGCAGCCAGCGTCATCCACCCATTCTACACAGGCATGAAGAACAAGATTAACCCGAAGGAAGACTACAAACTGTGGGGGACCAGCGAGCTGCCAGACAACCTCATCGAGTACGCAGGAGTAGATGCGTACGCCGCGTACAAATCATGGTTCATGATCGACTTCATCACAGACGGTTGGGAATATGCAAAAGAGCGGGAGGCTGAAAACTTCTACGATCGCCCCTATTGCCCCTTTACTGGAAGAAGATAACATCAGAGCCTGCCTTCATTTTAATTCCGCTTGTGCTTGCCTTTTATCTTGTTGTTTCAAATTAGTAGTTTGCTCTTGTTGGGTTGAACCAGTGTGATTATGTCATGCTTGTCATGTTTGAACAAGTTTAGTTATGTCATCAAGTACAATGTTTTGCTTATCTCATTATATAAGTTTGGTTTGGTAGCTTCATATGCTGTTAATCCATCATTTCAAAAATTCAAAAGTAGCTTCTGAATGGAACATTGTCGTTGCTCTAAAGTACTAGTTATGATGCAACTAATCACACAACGTTGTTCCGTGTCAGTACAACTCAGTACACTTGATTGGACAATACATTCTTACTACAATAAAAAGTACAAAGAAGCATCAGTCCGTAAGCGCTACTATGAATGCACTATCAGTACAACTTAGTCTACACGCAAGTACCATAGTTCTGAAAATGACACCAGAAGACACTTGAGAATAATCACAAAAACAAACACAAAAAAGAAGGCAAAAAACTCAAATGAAAAAGATTACACTCACACAAAACTGACAAGAACTAGAACAAAAAGTATCAGTCCAAGTTACTGGTGGAGTAAAGTACTAGATTCAAACTAACAAAAAAATGACCGCCCAAGGTCAGGCATAGGCCCTGACAATGCTAGATACTTGAACTCGAGCCCGTGGGCGAATCCCTAGTAATACGCACAACGCAGGACCTGCCGACCAGGGCCCACAGGTCAAGAGAGAGGGCGAGCGCCGTGTCTAAGCGCTCAGGTAAGTGTTCAGAGGAGTTCGATTGGTGAGCCTCCACTGCGCTTATAAACAGGTCCGGAGCCCTCTCGACTAGCGAGGTGGGACTAAACCCAGAGCGCACGCGCACGACGCCCTGCATACCCGCGCGGACGAGCTATCTGGGCCGAAAAACGGCCCAATAGCCTACATCGTCAACAAAACACCCCACCAAATAAAGCCCAGGTATACAAACCAGATGGCGGGACAAAGAAAAATAAACTGCAAGAAAAATGTTTGTCAATTAACCTGTACAAGAAAAAAGGAAAAAAAATATGATACAAAAACAATGAACCTCTAAAAAAGAACAGAACTTAATAGCCTATGTGTTAAATGTACATAATTTAAAAAACTGAATTAAATATTACTTTCAAGTTCAACTACTAAAACTCAAAAAGTTCAAAGCATATAATATTTGTCAATTATGCTAAATTTCTTATTTATATAAAATCTGACAAGTTCAACTACTAAAGCTCAAAAAGTTCAAGCATGTAATGTTTGTCAATTATGCTAAATATCTTATTTATAGAAAAACTAACAAGTTCAACTACTAAAAATCTAAAAGTACAAAACATATAATGTTTGTCAATTATTCTAAAATTTCCTATTTATATAAAATCTGATAAGTTCAACTACTAAAAACTATAAAAGTTCAAACATATAATGTTTGTCAATTATGCTAAATTTCCTATTTATATAAAAACTGACAAGTTCAACTACTAAAATTCAAAAAGTTCAAATTGAATTTATTTGTCATTTCTGCTAAATTTGTTATTTATATAAAATATGTCCACACCACAACGAACGATCTGGTCGTAAAATAATCTCAAACCCCCAACCTAAGTTATAAAAAAGATCAGTTCAAAACATACATACGACATCAGTACTAAAACAGCAGAATCAGTCAGGCCGCTCGCACCACTGTGACATGAAATTTCAAACCCGTGCGTTGTATGAAAATTACAATTCAGTTCATACAGTACTAAAACATAAGTGCACTGAAAATGAGAATACGAAAACTATAAAGGCCTAACCTAGGTTGGTACAGATGAAAATAAAATAAGTACAACTTTTGAGCAACAACTCCCAGCGCACTGAAAAAATGTTTTGACATAAACTAGTGTATAAAGACTTCAATAGAAAAACAACGCTTAAACATCCACACGGAAAAACATCACAGAGCCATGCGTCACCTAAACAGTGCAAAAATGCCATTCATCACCACCGCAGAGACGTGCAAGTGGGATTTAGCAGATTGTAAGTACAGCTTGACAAGACTAGTCAGTGCAGTAGTAAAAAAAATTGTCTTGGACGGTTAGTTCTTCCAGGCCACCACCCGCGCCACCCACTGGGTGGTTGCCACGACGCACTGCAGAACGGCGACCCCCACGACCACTACACCCACGTCCTCGACAAACCGCCTCCAACACACCACCGTCGACGCACTCCAAAAATACCCCATTGTCTTCCATCTCTGCCTCATTCACAGAATCACCATTGCCGCTTCCATCTACACTGCACACAAACCAAAAACTTCTCTCTCCCAAAGCCCACAGTCGCCGGAGCAAGGCGATGGCGGAGGAACCGTCCGCCAAACGTCACCATGGCGACACATCAAACAAGAGCAGCAACCTCGCCGACGTTCACGTCCCCGGTGAGAAGCACGAGTACACCAAAATGCTCAAAGGGGTTGAGCTCCACGGCAAAGAGACGCTGGAGATCGTCTGCACCAGCGAACTAGACAAGGCCGACCAGATGATGAGCAGGCTCAGGATGAAGGGCGGCGGCTTGTATCCGAGCTTCATCGGAGTTGATGTGGAGTACACCGACGAGGAAAAACCTCCACAGATGGCGGCAGTCCTGCAGTTGTGCGTCGAGGAACTCTGCTTGGTGTACCACATCGCAACAGCAACAAAATGGTAACCCATACTACTGTTCATTCATCTGTTGTACCAGTACTAGTCGTTAAAAACTTAATTAAAACTTGTTTCCCAACGATTATAGTCATTTGTTTGTACCAGTAGTTCATTGAATGCTATGAACTACTATAGTCTATGAAGTGGATGCACGATTACATGTTTCTCAAGTTACATGCATTTCTGGAATTGTGAACTGGATTGTTTCACCAGATTAGCATCTGAAAAAAAGTTTATAGCATTCTGAACTTTATGCACCAAATTAATTTCTGAACTTGATGTACTAGCATAGTTTCTAATCTTGACGTACTAGTATAGTTTATAGAATTGATGTATTAAAAGATCTTTGTTGAAGTCTTATAGGTCCATATCTTGATGCACAAGTTTCTCAAAACTAAATTTTGAACTTGATATAGAATTAATGCACAAAGATGTATCAAGCACTGCTATAGGCCTTTTATTCAACAAAAAAGAAAACTAAACTTGAATCAAGCAGCGCATGAATCATTGACTCTGGTAAAAAATGATTCTCTAATTTGGTGAAGCATTTGGTGAAGCAACGAAGATAGCAAAAAAGAAAAATATAACATGGTGGCTCATAATTTGACTTTTTTTTACTAGTTTCTGGACTACATTCATGCATGGCTCATAATATATAAGCATCTACCTCATGTATTATCACTTGTAAAATAGAAAAAAAAGCAGTAGAATTAAATACTCAAAAAGAAGACTAATCTTTAGAAAATGTGTGTCTCCCCCCTTGCAGGCCCAAGCGCCTCAAAGACTTCCTGCAGGAGGAGAAATTGTACACATTTGTTGGCTTCAACATTGGAGGTGACAAGCAGAAGCTGGGGAAGACTGGTTTAGAAATCAACCCCAACAACTTCATCGACATGCAGCGCAAGTGGAAAGATCCAAAGACCAACAAATACTACGACTCCTTGGCCGATGTTGCAGGCGGCGTCATCCACCCATTCTACGAAGGCATGAAGAAGAAGATGCAGAGGGAAGACCACAAACTGTGGGCGACCAGCCCGCTGCCAGAAAACCTCATCACATACGTAGGAATAGATGCGTATGCAACATACAAGTCATGGAAGACAATCGACAACATCGTGACGGGTTGGGATATTTCAAAAGAGCAGGAGGCTGACCCCTACTACCACTGCAACTTCATGGATGAAGATGCATGAAAGTCTGCATTCATTATGTTAAACCAGCTATCATATGCTATGTGTGTCCTTAGTCTTGTTGTTTCAGATTTGTAGTTTGCTTTCGTTTTGTTGAACCAGCTACCTTATGCTATGTGTGTCAGGGTTTGAACAAGTTTGCCTATGTCTATCAAGTACATCATTTGCTTATGTCATCCAACAAGTTTGCTAGCTTCCTATTTTGTTGAACCATCATTTGAAATTGAACTAGGTTGAAGTTGAAACTTGATGGCTGCCACGCAGCACTAGTCATGGAGAAATAAAAATAACACATAAATATTTTCGCAAAAAAATAGTGGCAGGCTAACTAAGGACAAAAGCAAATAGTAGCCTTGGACGCTCAGTACAGCTTAGACATGAACGGTAGTACTATCACACTAAAAAACCAGTTTTTAGTTTCAGAAGAACACTAAAAACACTAAGTTTCAGTCAAGGACAACATTCAGTACTAAAAGCATCATGCTAAAAATAGAAATTAGAAATTCACTAAGTACTGCAACAGGAAAAGCAAAGAACCATAAGTACGTATTTCCTAGTAACTAGCATGCTAGGACTGAAACTTTGGGTACACTTGAACACACGGTACATTCATTCTACAAAATATAAAAAAGGAACGGGAAGCTTCAGTTCGCATTCCCTAAAACAGTGACACACTAAGAATAACAGTAATAATACAACTAAAATCTCGGTACAACTAAGACTATACGGCAAGTGCTAGGATTATACCAAACATTGC